GAAAGATTGGATAAGTTACCTTAACTATTTGGAAGTTAAAATTCCAGCCTTAGTGATGAAGATCACCAACCATAGAAGAGCCACGAATTTTCGCATTAAACCACACTATTTTTCCTTCCTTCTGTTATGTGTCTTGACAGAATGATAAATTAATTTTTTTCGCCATAAGTTGTGATACATGATACATATTCAGCTATGCCACCAAAGCTCACAATGTTTGGCTCAATCCGCTCCAATACTCATTTTGGACCCAAATTAACCCTCATACATGATCATAGACCTAATTTTAATCATAACTAAGTGCCTAAATAATTAATCAACCTCAATAAACCTTAGTCACAATTTATTCCTCAATTGAAAACCTCAATTTTACAATAATGCTAATTTAAATTCTCAATTAAAAATTTAGAATGTTATAATTATCGTGGGCTATATAATGTAGAAACTGTAAACTCTTAGTCAATTGCTAATGCCTCTTGATTCTTTTTTGAGAGTCGGTAATTTAAGCTAAACCTGATGAAATTAGCTAAAAAAATCTTAAGATCAAGTTAAGAGTTTAAAATTTTTTTTTTATTGCCGATCACTTGAACAAGCTTGAAGAAATGCAAGCCAAGCCTACAGTAAATATTTTTCATTATTAATAAAATAAACATAAAATAAGCAAAAATTTGAAAATCATAATTTTTTAATGATAAAAATTAAAAGTGGCTAAAAAAATAAAATAAAAATTAATAATTTAAGTATTTAAGCTAACTCAAACAAGTTAAAAAATTCAAGATGTTAGTATCAAACTTAACTATATTTTTTTTTGTATAATCAAATATTTTAGACTTATTTAAAATAAGTTTAGCCCGAATAGCCAGGTGGACGACTAACTCTTTTCTCTCTTTTTAGTTAGTTTTTCATGCATTTTACTTTCATACCCATTACTATTTACTAGCAGTCTAGCACTTTTCAATTGTTCAGCGGGACATTTTTTTTTTGGGGGGGGGGGGCAACAGCAATTGATTGGGACTTGAGATACTATCCTCGAGCCTTATCTAATTAAGAAAAAAAAATATAAAAAAAGGTTATCGAGACATGTTTAATTTCCATTTTTAACAATTATTTTAAAAAGTTAAGAGCATACCAATCAATACCCAACATATTGCTGAATGATTCACGTGAATTATAACAATGTTAGACTCAAGTAAAGGGCTTCATTGTCATTCAAGCCATTGATTGTAAAGTATAAAAATGCTTAAAAAAGATACTTAATCTTCCTACCCAAAAAAATAAATTACTATAATTATAAAATAATAAAGTCTAAACAAGTTAACAAGAAGAGAATAAAAATCCAAATATAGGTGCGTGGTAATTACGGATAATGTTAAGGGCAAAAGAAGAGCAAGGGGGAAAAGGTCAACATTTTTTTTTTTTTATAATGTCGAACAACGAACAGTAAGTCATCAATTGATGTCAATGAGCTCCTATTAAAGCGGCAGCTTCTGTCGGAAGAGGAATTAAAGGGCTCTGTTGTTTGGGTGCCTCGTTCTCCCTTTCTTTCATCGTTAGCACGGAATTCCCTTGAAGAAAGTTAGAGCGATTTCTCTTTCAGAGAGGAAGCGAACAATGGCCGATCAACTCACCGATGAACAGATCGCCGAATTCAAGGAGGCCTTCAGCTTGTTTGATAAGGATGGCGACGGTTCGTCTCTCTTTGCCTGCTTCGATTTGACCCATTTTCCTAGATCCGTGTTTTCTTCTAGATATGTTTTTCCAGCTATTGGTGCTTCTTGTTTAAAAAGATTAACTTGATTATTGAGTTGGAAGAGTTATTTGGCGCTTTTTATTAGAGCTGATTTTTGGTGATTTGAATCTGTGCCTGTTTCATTTTTATACGAATCCAGGAGATATTTTTATTTCCTGATTAGTGTTGGTATAATTTTTTCCTTTTCCCTGTGTTTGGTTGAGGTGAAAATTCTGGATAAGAAGAGTGGAGGATTCAATATTCATTGCCTTATATTAGGTTTATTGTACGTCTTGTGATTGATTTTACACAGGTATTATAAGTTTGCTCTCTTTGTTTTTAGAATCTGCTTTGCCTGACGAAATATGAGAAAAAAAATGGGTGGGTCTTCGCAAGTGCAGATTACTCTGCTTCAGCTAAAGATCTGTACAACTTGTAAGCATATATGCAATGGTGACAGAAAAACAGATTTTGCACTCCTACTTTTGTCGTTCTATCTTTCGGCAAATATAAACAAGGAAAGAGAGGGCGTGGTTCCCCTTTTTTTTTTTTTTTAGCGCGTGTATTTATTGGGTCATGAGAGAGCAGGTGATTTTGGAATATAATATGACTGTTTCACTCTTGGTTTTTGATGTTCTCTTCTGAACCACCTTAATTTCGCCTGTTTAAATTGAAAGCCATTACAATGCTAGAGGTAAAAGCCTAGAGCAGAACTTCAGGCACTGACATTTGATTTCTGAAGGGTTGCAATTTGCAGCACTATTGAACTCTGCCTACTAGCCTTTCCTTGTTGAAGTGAGGAAGTTGTAACTTTGGTTATATCCACTCACCATGCTTGGCTCTTAGTCTTTTTAACATCATTTTATTGACATCCTTGTAAATATTGATAGTTTGTGAGCATTTTTCTGTGTCTATGATCACAATAACTTACAATTTACTGTTGAATGCTCACATAATATTTCAGGTTGCATCACAACCAAGGAGCTTGGAACTGTTATGCGGTCGTTGGGGCAGAACCCAACTGAAGCTGAGCTTCAAGACATGATTAATGAAGTAGATGCTGATGGTAATGGCACCATAGACTTTCCTGAATTTCTAAACCTTATGGCCCGGAAGATGAAGGATACTGATTCTGAGGAGGAGCTGAAAGAGGCATTCCGAGTTTTTGACAAGGATCAGAATGGGTTCATTTCTGCTGCTGAGCTCCGCCATGTGATGACAAACCTTGGAGAGAAGCTTACTGATGAAGAAGTTGATGAGATGATTCGTGAGGCCGATGTTGATGGTGATGGCCAAATAAACTACGAGGAATTTGTCAAGGTGATGATGGCCAAGTGATCGCTTCATCCTCCTAGAAGCTATATTTATGAAAAGAACAAAAAGGCATCAAGGTTGAGATATGTATAATCGGAAAAATTTGTATGCAGTTCTTCTATATCCTTGTCATCAGATTCTTCAATTAAAATATTATCAAGTGTACGGGTTTTCAATAATAATATTCCAGAATATGGTTCATACAAGCGTATGATTACCAATTAACTCATACATCTGTTATGTTGTTACTGGAGTCATACACTTGACATATTTTAATCAAGGATAATTTGATAGCAAGGATATAGGAAATTTAAGTCTTACCCAGACAATATGTAGTAGCCGTAATCCCCCACCCCCGGACCTTTTTTTTTTTTTTTTAAATGCTTGTTAATCTGATGCTTTTGAATCCAACCTTCACAACACATATCTGTAAAATTAGTTGTCGATAATGGAATTGCATCCTTCTTGTTTGCCTTGTCATTGTCTCACAGAAGTTTTAATGGTTATTTGAATATTTCACTCCATTTGCCCCTCCTCGTTATTGTTTTCTTTATGAAACTACCTGTTTAAAGATGATTCAATATCCCACGTTTGAACGAGCAGATCTTCTGAATTCTGTCTGCTGTGGTTGAAATTTTGCGTATTTCGCAGAAAAATTTTAGGCTTTCGTTCTTGAGATTACCGACTTTGTGCTGCTTTAGTCTGAAAAAGGAGTTAGCCATGTGCAATATGTTGGAATCATTGCATCTGTTTGCGATTCCTCAAGGATTATTTGGAATGATCTTCAATTTCCATAAATTGATTTGAAAAGCACTAGAACTATTATTTTCCATTTACAATTAATAAATTAGTTGCACGAATTGTTATTGGCATGATCATTTTTCAGTTTTCCACGCCTTAACCTCGAAAACTGATTCTTGGAGATAGAGGAGGGAGGACTGGAGGAGCATTCTATTTTATTCATATTCTAAAAGCAATGAAGACGTATAATGTATTCTGGTGTAAAGTATACACATAGATCTATAGTGTTAAATAGTTAAGGAGAAAAAAATGGAACCAAAGATTGAAATTTACATATATTCTGAATATTTATTATTTTTAATTATTACTCCCTCCGAACTAAAATATGAAATATAAAACATTGATAATTAATTCATAATTTTAAAAAATATTAATTGAAACTTTAAATTTTTGAAAAAAGTATACCTTTTTTAATTTTACCTTCATTAAATATTCTATATAAATACTTTGATAATGATATTTAAAATTTTAATACATCATTTTTAAAAAAAATTAATAAATGAAATGTGGGTATAATTGAAAAAACAAATGTAGAAATTGCCCAATATCTTATATTTTGAACTAAGACTTGTAAAAGATGCTCCTTGAGGGCGTATATCACAACATTATTGTAAAGTTTTAAAGTTTATTTCAGAACGATCATGGCTGCTAATGGAAATTATATTTGGCCATCTAAAACCATTAAGAAACCTTTCGTTAAGGAAAACTATCATTAGCAAAATACATCTGGGCATGTTTTGAATATGCTGTAGGCTTAGCCACTCAGGGCGACTCAGTTTACACGTCAATACTTGATATACGTCAGTTGTAGTTTGAATATAATACAACATAACATAAAATATAAAATTCACGTTAATTTTTTTGCCCTTCTCAGTTTTGTATGTTCGTATTTTTGCATGGAACAGTATTTATATATGACATACATATTTACATAGATAAAATTTTCGTATGTAATTTAAATCCCAATCTTAGCTATTAATTTGACAACCTTTTTTTTTTTTTTTTTGTACTCTTCGCAGCCGTTTATAAAATATGTTTTTGAACGTGTGTGTGTGTGTGTCAGATTTTGCTTCACCTCTTCTCCAGCCAACTTTGCTTCACTCGCCCAACTTCCCCAATGGATGCAAAAACAATTAAAAGGCAGGGGCACAGCATCAACCGCATAACTACGTATGTATACATGTATACTTTAAACATTTTCCAGAGGCATCTGCTTTCGATGTGACATAAACCCGCCTACGCCTAGTCCCCCTTAAACTTTTTCAGTCAGTCAACAAAACTACAAATGAAGAGTTCAATTACTCGACAACTTCATTACAATCTTTTCAAGCTTTTCTTTCTGGCATCAATCTTTTTCTTGTCTGCCTGAGCTTTTGGTAGACCACTTTCCTTCTTTTGTGGTGCAGGAGAGGTAGGAGGCACTATGGTTGCACCGGAAGAGCCATTAACGCCTGCCTCACTTGGAGCAGCAACTAGCTGCTCCTGATTGCTCCCCCTAATTGCCATAGCTGAGTGGGCTGAAGAGGACTGCAATGGCAATGAAGCACCCAGAGATGCATTTTTCACATCAGTTTTAAGAACTGGGGGGTTGCTCTGATCAACGTTCAATGCAGTTGTAGATTCTGATATGGCACCGGTTTTAAATTTGGCCTTCGGCTTGGCATGGATTCCTGTGTAAAGCCTGCATGAAAAAGAAGCTACTTACTCACATACTCGGGGAGGAAAATATACAAATCAAATATGGAGGGGAGAAAAAACGAGAGAGAGAGTAAACTGAATTGGAAACCAGCCCCTGCAGGCATCAAACCAAAGCAAAAATTACCATAGAAGTATAAAATTAGTATTATTAGTTTATTCTTATATTTAAGTGAGCCGCGAGCTACATGTCTTCTGAATCATAAATCGGTATAAGTAACTGTAATTTCACAGAAAAAGTAACAAAATAAATTTATCTGAAATATGGTAAACTAATATATAGCTAGCTGTCTGGCTCTGGCTGAACTAAACAGATAAAGAGAAGCGGCAGTATTTTTTTATTTTTATTTTTTAATCTCAAGTTTTAATTCAATGCTCACTTGCCTTTATAAGACTTGAGGACATGATTAGTCTTTGTTAGCGCTCAAGGTCTCTCACATAACATCCCACTAATCCCATACAACACAGGAGTTGACAACACCAATAGCATTGTTGGCTTAACATACCTGGCATGTCTAGCATACTCTTCATAATTTTCGAGCAGCATTTTACCAGCTTGTTCATTTAAAGCTGATTCTGGAAATGGTTCAATCAATAGACACCTAACTACCTGTTAATTATCAGAAGTTAGAAGACCAGACATGTCAAACTATTCAATAAGGCCCAAAATAGATATGCTTAACCGTACAGGCAAACAAGATTTTGCTTGCGTGAACTGAACACTTACAATAAGAACATGACGTAACCCAAGACTGGGATTCCAATCTTTTTTTAGCGTGTTGACACAAATCTCTCCATTTGTTGCAATATTTGGATGAAAAATCTTAGTCAAGAAATAACCTACAACATTTAGGTTTGACAGCTTCAAGGTTAGTAAAGTTGCAAAACTCACAAAAGCTTAGACAAGATTATGTAGCCATTCCAGGCGCTTATAAATATATTAAAAAGTATGTCCCTTGCTCATTATCACATGCCTAAGTTGAAATCACTAAACCAAATAAATAAAATAAAATTCCTAATATGTAAATATACCTTTAGGTGGAGAGTTTGGAAAATCATGAGACAATAACAATTTCATGCGGAAAACTCCATTCTCATAAGGAGTCCCGGCTGCAAGAATAATGAATAACTCTGGTTTAGATTGAACCATGTGACTGAATACTCAAATATCGACTCAAAATAAAAGGCTACGTGCCTGGGCCTTCAATGTCCGCATATATTGTTGAAAAATCATCATCATTAACCATAACTTTGATGCCCTCAGGAGGAGATTCATCAAGATTTTTCAATTCCTTGACAAGTTGTTTTATTACATTGGGAGGAAGATTTTCATTTGTTGCCTGCAATAACAACAACAAAAAACTCAAGACACTAAAGGCCAAAACTTACATCCATGCCAACTTCATTGAATATAAACCGCAAACATATTATCAGCATCATGATAACTCTAGCCACCAAAATTATTCAGTTCATGGTGAAGGATATGGTTCCGCTAAAATTTCCTCCATTTCAATTCCCTATCCAGTTGTGCATGCATACCGGCTAATAAGTTGGCTTGAACTCACAGCCAATCCAGTTGCTCAATGAATATTGAGTCTGTTCACCAATACAAACACACACGCACACACACCCAGTCTAATAGTAGTTATCAGTAGATGAATCAAATGGTGGATGCCAAGAGATGTCCTGAAGGTCAGACTAGACCGACAAGCAAGTTTACTCCACAAATAAAATATGAGCCAAGGCCAAACAATGCAAGCCTTGGGGAACAGCCTCCAACAGGAGTCAAACTACAGAAGAGCAGTTGTGTAACATAAGAAAAGAAATACTTACCATTGGCCTCAAATACAGCTGCAATCTATTTTTTTATGTCACCAAGTAGCAACGAGCCCTTTCCTACACAAATTGCTGAATTCTCAAATTTTCTGTTCAGGAGTAAAGGAAGCAATCAAACCAAACCAAAAGCGCCTGTAAAATTCTGATTACGACTATGTGGAAAAAGGCAGCTCCAACATGATATTGAGGAATTAACTAGCATATAATATGAATAAACAACAAAATCAAATGCTAGAAAAGATATAACAAAGAGATGAGATAAATTAGAGAAACAAAAACAACAAAAATATGTCAGTATTCAAGTCCCAATTTAACTTCAGAATGAATGGGCCAATAATGGCAATACAGTCAACACGACTTTAACTTTAAGTTCAGAGTAAAGCAGACCTCTAAGCAATACATGATATAACAGGGACAACAAACATTAAACAGCTGAGGCAAATTATAGCATCAACTAGAATATTCCAGTTATTCATCAAAGCCAATTCAGCATGACAATGCCCAAAGCAATAATGTTAATATATTTAACACAATTCAACTTTTGACTTCACTATAACCCAGAGTCTTACAAACTTATATTTAACTACCCACTCAACCATCCCAAAATCCTTGTTTAACCCACATAAACTAAATTCTATTGAACGAAAGTATATTACTATATTGTTTTCAAATAATAGCTTTTCTATATGACTATCCTGCTCCCCAGACCTCAGTTGGTCAATTGATCCGGAAATAGATAAAAAAAATTCCCTTGAAACTTGAAAGTTTCAGCTAGTGAATCGTACCAAAATCTTATAATGGTCAAAATGTTATAGTAAAGAGATAATTCCAACAGAAGAATTCCTAAGTTGCAAGTTGAATGCTTAAGAAGCTGTTTATGCTTACCAGGATGTCAAAGAAAAAACCTAGGCTTGTAGCTAAATTCATCACAGTCTCAGATCAACTATAACCAGTATCACCAATATAGCACACAAACATGGGATTCAAATTGGTATATCTACTCAAATCACAGACACAAATAACATTTGAGGTGATTCCTCATTCAATGTCAGGTTAAGAAAAAATTAAGAATCTAAAACATCCTAGAATAATCAAACACCATCACACCAACCGTACCTCCTATCAACACAATGACCAAACCGTATTACCTGGAAAACCTATCAAGCCAAAACTAAAGTCATATGATATAGCAAAATCAATAGTGAACTGAACACAGTTCACGTCAGAAGGAGAAAATAAAGCACACAAATTGCAACTTTCAACTCATTTCCGTAAACACAAAAATAGACACATTCATGCATAGGTGCATTTGGAGTCGGACAGAAATACTTCATGACGAATAAGACCGACACTTGTTGCAGATAGCCAGATACTGATTACAACTGTCACAACATAGAACAAAAAGGTAATATTTTGAGCACTTAATCAGCCTTAGGAGTGAATGTTAAACAAGTAAAAACAAATAAGCTCCTCAAGCCCGAAGAAAATCACATAATCATAGTACAAGAAGCAAGCAACTAGCTTGAAAAAACCCAACTAATACAGACGGTCCACAAGAACTAGAAAAACTCTTTTCACGTTGGCAGCTCTTTGGTGCCCGAATTCACACAAGTGAAGCTCCAAAATTACATTTGTCTAACATACCCGTGCAATCCATGCCAGCAACAGAAACAATTTTCCTCACAAAAGAAGAAAGAAGCCAAACAAAAAACTGAACATCCATGTCAGATCAAACGAAACCAATCACCCAGTAAAGCACAATGCATAGCATAAACCCACGAACCTCAACATCCCAAATCGGACAAGAAAGAAATCATACCCATGCCAAATCGGATTGGACAAGCATCAACAAAGTGTACAATATAAACACATAGGACGCAGAATTAGGGGAAAGATGACATTGAGCTCCCACAACTCCACACTGAATGTTAAACCCACACAACCAAATTAAAAGAAAATGGAGATGCGAGTTCACCTAATCAGGGGCCTCCCAGGTGCGAAGCTAAAGCCAGGGGGAGGCGAGAGACAGAGAGAGTAAATGAAATACAGATGAGAGCGGAAAATGCGATCCCACTTGGAATGATTGATCAGAGGATATGAATGAGAATATATTATAGTCGAATAATAAAATAATCTTCTTGGAAATCCGATAATGATTATTATTATTAATCTGATTCTAATTGAAATTGAAATATATTTTTTATTTTTGGTGCCAAAATTGAATTGAAAGTTTAATTATTTAAATAATTTTGAGTTTGAATGACGTGTCCGCGAGCCAAGAGCCCAAGATTCTCATTCTGCAACTGGATTGATAGACGTTGGTTTCTTCATGTAGAGATGCCCCCACGTGCTTTTGGAGGGCGTGCAGTACACCGCCGACTGAAATGTTTTATTATTATTATTTTTTATCTTTTGGGCCAACAGTTAATAAGTGTTGTATTGGTGTCGTTGCAAAGGTACTGGTTGGATTGAATTAATACAATTCGATTGCATTCCCCCCCGGAAAACGTGCTAGTTACAACTGACAAGGATTCTCTCATCTTAGATCTAACAATTATTGCAACGGTATAAGAAAGTGATTCAGTAATCTTAACAATTACTGGAGAATACCTGGATTTTGATCAGAATGGGAAAAGGGCTTAGCTGCATAGTTGATCAATAAATTTTAAATAAATTCATCCAGCGTATCGTAATATTTGGAAAGAACAATTTCAGAAGATTAAAATTCTAAAAATATTTAGTTGACAGATTTTTTTTGTAGTGAGTGACAGTACCTAATATTTTAATCAAGCCCAGTGAGGTGAACGTTATAGGGTCGCCTTCTCAAGTAGCCGTTGCGGTGCCAGCAAGCGCCCTGTCACATGTTCTTAGAGATACACAACTAACTTCTGATTTTTGACAAGTATTTCAAATTACTCTTAACCTTTAAAAAAAAAAAATTGAAGTTATGGATTATGAATTGCGTATGACGAATTTGTCCTCCTTTTAATGTCAGTATCACCAACCCGCATCCACCTTACAAAAATTCAAAATATCTACAATTTGCTTTTTGTCACCTAAAAATTGGTGTTGCGACATTTTAACCAGCAGTAGTATATATAATTTTAATGTAAATTATACTTTTTTCAAATTTTGTTAAAAACGCACTTGTTTTCATTTTTTAAACACATTCAACTTTTAAAATAAAAGGGTTACATGACATTATTAAACCATAAAACACAAACTCTAAAAAGAAAATAATCCGATAGGTGCCCATTTTTCTTCCCATCTCGATTCTTGAAAATAACTTTCAAACTGTCAATCCCCCACTCCATCCAATGAGTCCTAGAGGCGTCTCTATCTGTATACCCACCCACCCCCCAAAAAAGGAGAATATAACCTTTTTTTAACTTCTTTTTTTTTAGTTGATTAGTTTTTTATTTCATTAAGAATACCTTATTAACCAGATGTTTTCTTAAAACCCTTTTAAACAATGTTTTACGCATATAAGCATTTAAACTTTAAGTCGTACAAATGAACACTTCGTTGAGTCACATTTCATTGTGAAATAATAGACAGATCAACGAAAAAGTAATTTGCGTGCTAATCATCAAGTCAGAGAGGGGCTTGGTGAACGTCGAATGTAACTATGTCTGCTCGTTATGGCCATGTACCGTTTTTTAAAAAAAAGGAAAAGGGGGGAGGGTTGACAATCGAGAAAGCCAGTAGTCTGAATATATGTGCACAATACATATACATATATATATATATATATATATATATAGGGCAGGCTGAGTGGGAGGGGGCCTTGTGAACAATGGAGACATTTCAGGGCTAAAAATTGGATAAATTTACCTCGACATGGATTTGCAAATAATCATATGTAGAAAGTAATACATGAACAAGTTGAGTTTCACCCCGGTTCCACTACTGAGGTAGCACGTTCCTGATGCTTCATACAGCTAAATTACTTCTCCTGACAAAACTGCGAGTTGAGGAAACAGAAGACAGATAAATAGAACCATTTCCCAATCACATTCTAACCGACTCTGTTGCTGATAGCTTGATGAAGAGATTTAAGCTGCGTGTTCCATTTCTCAACAGCAGAGTACTTTTTCATTCCTTTCGATCTGGATCACAGTATTTTTAAGGTTATGACTTGTGAGAAGTACTAGAATTCTGCGTAGCATGAATCAAATAAAAACTAGAAATGAAAGCGAGAAAACGCTGACCTATCTGAGCGTTCTAATAGCCGATTAACTTGATCTATGTGGCCCTGAATTCTGTTGTCCAAAATTAGTGAAACCAGTAGCTGCTCAACATCATGCTCAGGCACATTAAGTTCCTGCTCAACAATGGATTTCATCAAACATGTTGAACTAATTCATAACTTGAGCGTGCGTCTACATGTAATCTTACACATAACGATGGGAAGAATATAAAAGCAAATGAGTTTTTTATATTCATGTTCAAAATGTTCATGTTCGGCTTGTTCCGTTCTCAATGAGTAAAGAGTTTCTCATATTCCCCCTTAAACCAATGACGTCAGCCTTAGCTTGTCCAAGATTTTCTCTACTATTCTCCCCCCCTCCCCTTGACGGAGGTGGCGGGTGTTAAAAGGAAGGAGGCATGGGAGTAAAATTACCTTAGATATAAACGGGATCCTGATCCTTGTATAGGGTTTGATGAGCTTCAGCAAGACTTGTGTTCTAATGTTCTTCAGCAGATCCTCAATATAATTTCTGATAAAAGGATCGTCCATAATGGTCCTTCTGTTACTCTGAAAGTCAATCACCAAACATCCACTTAGGAGTTACACAAATATAAAAGGAGAAAGCTCTTAAGGTCAAATTTGCGCATGACACAACCTAACGACAGACTCAGTATTTTACCTTCAGGATTTTCTCAAACTCTAATATTTCATTCCGTTGATAGGCTGCTATTAAATTTGTCATTGCCAAAATTTCAGGGTCATTCTTGTATCTGAAGAACACAGTAAATGAAAGGTGAAATCAGACAAGAGAGCGCAAACATCATCCCCAAGTATTGAAATATAAGGAAAAAGGAACTATGAGACAAGCAAAATGAAATGGGATACAGAAGACTTACGGCTTAGCTTCCTGCCCGTCAAATGGATTGACTTCCGATTCCATCAACATGTTTGCTAGGACAAGGTATCTGGCATGGATAATAAGTAAATGGTACATGGTTTATGAGAAAAGCTGTGCAGCTGGGCACAGATGTCAATAATTGAACAATGCAACATGAACTCTGAATCCAAATAAATGAGGGACTTAAAACCAAGAAGATTGCCTAGTTTGCTAAAAATACAAAAATCTTGGTTTAAATTGATTGTACATATTCTCTCTTTTGGCCAATGAATTGATCATGCAAATTCAAGAACATGCATCTTGTGTTAATTTTGATTCACGTGTTTAGTTAAAAAACTGTTTGAAATATATTATAAAGAAAATGCTACAACGTACTTCAAGCATTGAATACGCCTCTGATTCCCAGCTTCATCATAATTCTTAAAAGCATCAAAGAAGTCAGTAGCTGCATCAGCCCACTGTCGCTCTGCCATATGCATTTTCCCCCCACATTCATGAATTATCCCCATTATCCTTGGATGGGGAATTGCTGACTTAATAGTGAGTGCTTTCTGGTAAAGTTGCTGCATTAAATATACACGGAGACTTGTAAACTACATAAACAAACTCCACCAAACCCAGCATAAATTTAATCAATCAGTTAGTCAATCCATGAGGAAAATCATTGAGTATGTGAACAATCTTATTAGCCAAATGCATAAGAGTTTCAATATCAAATATACTCCTTGATCCTTCCTTTCTATCAAGAAAACCTTCACTGGCTCTTACTCACGTTGTAAAAAATAAAAATTTTCACTGGCTCTTACTCCAGTTGTAAAAAATAAATATCTAAGCGAACTCCATCTTAAAGCATTAAGATCAGCTATAAGCTAGCAAGGAATTCTTAAGTTAATGATTTTCCTCTTTCTACAAATACTTAACTCATCAAGTTACGCCCCATGGATACAGCACTGCCTAATCATAAGAGAGAACAGCCCTGGAATAAAGCTGCAAACTTTCCTCACTATGTTGGGAGAGTTGCTTGGTGATATATTGATGATCTATATAACCCAAGCAAACACATTAAAATTCTTCTTTTTAGTTCCCCTCACAATATAATAATATATGGAAATGGGTTGCGGAAACTAGAGAAAGAGTAGTTAGTTAGGACAAGGAGGGAGCAAAAATGAGAAAGGTAGAGAGGGAGGATGAGAATGTAATTTACTTTATTCTAATCATTAAACATTAATTTTTGTATGCTCATAATATGTTTTCATCTATCCATATATATATTTGAAAAACATTAAAAAGTCGAGAAGTAGAGATACGATGTCTCCCAGGTCATTCATCAGAGGCGTAGCTCAATTACTATGTAGCATACCATAACATGAAAAGTGATATTTCATAATAGCCCCAAGTTTTCATATGCACCAGCAGGGTAGCTCACTGCCCAATCTATACATCATTCATTAATACCATATTTCTACTAATGAGCGAAGTTTAAATTTTCATCAAAATGGTTGATTTTGAGCAATTCAGGCCAATATGATATCTTAGAATTGCAAGCAGATGTGCAAACAGAGAATGAAGTTATACCTTCATAAATCCAAAAACTCCTAAGCTTCAGCATTTTTTCAATGACAGGTGGAAATTCAGATAAACTATAATAATTTAAAAATATAGGATGAGACAAATACATAGAGATAACGTGCTTGTCATAATCTCCAATACAAGCAAAAAATGAGATGCTTGTATTCCACCAAACATTTTGAAAGAATTAGGTGCATTTAGAATCTTCAACTTTACAAAACTAGTAAAAAGCATATTATTTGAAAACTAGCAAACATTAGTGAAAAGGCATTATTTGAAGAGTTCTGCTTCTACCAGAATCAGTAAGCACGCAAGATGGTTAAGAATCAATTGCAGCAAAATCCACAAGGCCATTAAAAAGCCAATGATTACTACTCATATAAAACAAGCCAAAGACCAATAATTTATTTAATTCCTTTTTTTTTAAGCAAACAATAATATATTTAATTCTAACCTTGAG